AAAAAGAAAGGGTATATTGATTTATTCGTTATCTCGGTTAATGCTTAGGACAGCCCTGCTAGAGGAAGTAAGACAGGTTCTTGAGAAACCAACTGTCTACCTGCCTCACTTCCCCTGTTCACTTCTCAGCCTGGCATTGAGTGCTCCCACGTGTGTCTGGAGGGCCGAGGTCCCCAGTAGATTGGCCGGTGCTCCCCAGTGGTGCTGCCTGGTGCTGGCTCCTGGCTGGTGCTCCCAGCAGTGCCGACTGTCCACAGCGTGGCCCTGCAGAGCAGTGGCTGGGACCCACTGGGATCCTGGGCTGCCACTGAGCCCCCCAAAAGACAAAACACTGCGCTGTGAGAGAGCTTCTGTCACTAGCAGAATGCTGCGGACACCTAGAGTGCTGGAGGGGACACACTGAATGTCTACGACTGTCTCTTTTGTTTGGTAGGAGCTGCAGCTCGGACAAGGGGACCAGAAGTTTGAGTTGCAAGGCCTTGAGCAGGGCGTCACCTACCCCGTCTTCTTGGTTGCCTTTAAGGGTGGTCGCTGGAGCAGGAATGTATCCACCATCCTTTCCACAGGTAACGTGGACTCCCGCGCTCAGAACGAGAGTGCAGGAGGAGGAGCATTCCAGAGGCCAGCAGTGCTGCCCGCGGGGGAGCGAGTGGCTGCAGAGCTGCGCTCCCTCTAGGCGTGGGAAACGGGGGCAGGAGAAATCCATCCTGGGAGAGACTACACAGGGGAGCGACATGGAGTGTTATTTTGGGGGGGAGTTGGGTCAGGGGAGGAAGTGATGTGAACGTCCTTATTTCTGGTCCGTTTAGAGGGTTCGATGAGAGGAGAGTGAGTGAGAAAAATAAGATGTGAGGATGCGGAAGGAGCAAAGTGGTAGGAGGTTGTGAGTAATCCTAAACCAATAAATTAACTTAAAACAGGGACTCGCCCCATGGCCCTTCTTCCTGCCCGTCTCTTAACAACGCGTCCCCTCTGCTTGGCTCCCAGTTGGTGCCCGTTTCCCACACCCTTCGGACTGCAGTCAAGTTCAGCAGAACAGCAACGTCGCCAGTGGCCTGTACACCGTCTACCTGCACGGCGACGCCGGCCAGCCCCTGCAGGTGTACTGTGACATGGACACGGATGGAGGCGGATGGACTGTGAGTCCCGCAGAGCCCCGGGAGCTCCAGGCAGCTCAGCCCGGGCAGCTCTCACGCTTCACAGGAACGTCGCTCGCCTGCAGCTGTGTGTAGAGAGATCCCACCCCACCGTAAGAATAGGACCGGAAGTAGTTCACACCTGGGACAGAGCAGGCGTGGTTAGGCTAAGGCTGATGGCTGTGAGGGCCCTTGGGTCTGTCACCATCGCATAATGCCCTATACGCATGTCTTACCCACGTTTTACTCTCCCCAAAGCACTCGCATAAACAAGATCCTCACACAAAAGCTGTAGAGTGAGAGAGATTATGATTCCGATTTGATAGACATGTAAAGTGAGGCCCACAAAGAGCTGTGTCTTGGCTAAGTCACGCGAGTAAGGGACAAAGCTCGGACCAGATTTCAGGACTCCAGCCTCCTTCCCCGTGGGTCATGTCAGGCCATCCAAGATGGAAACGCAGGACCTCCCTGGGAGCTCAGGCCTCTGAGCTGGAGCCCGTTGTCCAGGTTCTTCATCCTGGCTCCTTGGTACAGAAACGATGCTTTGGGACTTGGCATTTGGGAGGCTAAGCCCTGACAGAGGGAGAGCCGGCAGTGCTGATGGTCCCTCTGCCAGGTGGAGGTTTTATTCTCTTGGGCCATTCTCTGCTTAAACCACACGGCACCTTCTCTGATTGTAGCAGCCTGATCCAGTTATCGGATGAGCTGCCTCGGAGGGTTGCATGTGATCCTTCCATCTCCTCCAGCCCCCTCTGCCTGTGCCTGAGCAGACGGAGGTGCTCACTGCCCCAGACTAGCGTGCAGCCTCACCCGCTGGGCATCCACAACTCCCTGTGAGCAGGAGAAAGCATGACCTGATGGTGCTCTAACTGTCTTCATTTACATGTTCGCTCAGGGGCCCGGGAAACCAAAGACACTTGAGCAGCCATGGATAAAATAATGCCATCTGATGAGCAGCAGCGGAGAGCGTTTATTACCTGCACAGCTGCATCTGATGGCTGAAAGGCAGTAATTGGGTTGAATGGGGGCAATTCCCGATTCATTTATAAAAATATTGGAACAGAACATAACATGGGAGGTCTTCCACCTGAACATGCAATTCCAGCCTTCTAGAATTCCAGAATCGTTTCTCTGGCTAGCTAGGATGGCGTTTAGCTTGGCTCTCTCAAGGTCACGACATGTATATATTACCAACTCCAATAGCATACACAGGCATGGTTAGCCTCTGGGCACTTTTCAGGTTTACTTCATATAAAAGAATCCAATTGACTCTGACCAGAGCTTCCCCAAATAGAGGAAGCTCTGAAAAGAAAGCAGCCCATACTCTCATAATAGTACCCAGTCCTGCCTCCCTTTCCTCACTTCTCACTCATGCTTCAGCCCATTCCATTGGCTCTGCCATCACGTCTCACCAACACCGCCTTTGCTAAAGTCACCAGTGATTCCATGTCCCTAAATGCTGTGGGCGGTTTAGGCCTCGTGATCCGTGACCTTTGACCAGCATATGACGCCACTGACCACACCTTTCTTTTTGTGGCCTTGGTGACCCCACATTTTCCTTGTTGTCCTTCCGTATCTCTGGTTGTTCCTCTCTCTCCTTAATGAACCGATCCTTCTCCATGTGGCGGTTCTGTATTGGAGGTCCTCAAGGCTAGCGTCAAGGCCATTTTCTCTTTTCAGTTCCTGTTTTATTCCTGGTGGTCTCATCCTTTCCAATGGCCTCATTTTATTCTTCATGTCCCGGTGGCTTCCTGTATCAGTTACAATATAGTCGGCTATGCTGCAACAACAAACCAAATTCCAATGATTTAAAACTTAAAAAGTTTTTTTTCTCACATGTGATCTTCTGTGGGTTTGGCAGTCCCTCCTGAGTGGTGACTCAGAGATTCAGGCTGATTCCCACTTGTGGCTTTGCCCTGTCAGCACTTGGCCTTCACCGAGGCACGGTGGCTCATGGCCGTGGAAGAGAGAGCATGGAGAACCCGTCACCCTTCCTGCTCCCACATACAGTCCTGTGGCTGGGACCAGCCACATGGCTCTGGCTTAAGGGCAAAGAAGGCTGAAAAGGAAGTCTTCCTGTATCCTGGGGCTCTCCCTGGGGAAACGGGACTCGGGGAACACCTGGCGTCGTCTCAGACACACTCTCCCCTTTGTAAGTCTAGGCCAGACCTCTCTATAGAACTGCAGCCCTTGCATTCAGCTGCTCCTGTGGCATCTTCACGCGCCAGGATACCTCAGAAGTGTTTCACACTTGCCGTGTCCCCAAGCTCACGATGCGCTCAGAAAACCCGTCTTCTCTCAGAGCCCACACCTCAGTGAGCGGCCGCCTAGAGCAGTCAGCCAGAACCACAGAATCACTGACTTCCTCCCCTCGTTCAGTTCCCCTTTCAGCCCATCACCACATCTGTCCATTTTACCTTCTGTCTGTTTTCAGGGCAGTCCCAGCTCAAGCCACTGTCCCCTTTCCCTCAGTCGTGACTGTTCACATGTGTCAGAGTGAAACGTCTGTCTCCCTTCTCAGGTCTTCCAGAGGCGGAACACCGGGCAGCTGGATTTCTTCAAGCGCTGGCGGACCTACGTGGAAGGCTTTGGGGACCCCAGGAAGGAGTTCTGGCTTGGTATGATCTTTGGGAACCCAGGAGGGCTGGGTTGTGAAAGGGAGATTTCCCCCTCGAAAAGCTGGCCAGGCAGCTCACCACAGTCAGGAAGAGGCCCACGTGACAGGGACACGCTGAGCGGCCTGCCGACCTGTGTGTTGGCGGGGCCTTGTCGCTGGGAAGGTTCTCAAGCTCTGGGCTTGGGAAAGGGTCAGCCTGCCCCAGGGGGTATTTATGTTGAACCTGAGCCCCACAGGATCTGCCTGGAGCCCGAGCTTCTTAAAAACCATGGAGGAGATTTGGATTCTGGGCTGTGATTGGGCATCAGCGTAAGTTGTCCCAGACATTCTGTCGGTAATGCCAGGCGTATGGGCGCCGGTTTCTCTCACTTCCTCCTGCTCTGTTCTGGGTGGATATTCATGGAGAGGGAAAGAGCCGCAAGCACCAACTGGGGAATGGAGGGTTCAGCCGTCATAACCTGGGTACTCGGGGCCTGATAGAGTAGGCGAGGTTTGTGCTTTGCGCGGTCCGCAGTCTCTTCAGAGACCGCAGAGTGCCTGGTCGATCTCCTCTCCCACTTGGCAAGATAAGTGGACGGCAAATGGGACGGCTGATGCCTTAAGCGATGGCGTCAGTGGGTCAGGGTCATCCTATGATGACCCGCACTGTGCCTGCCCACAGGACGTGGCTTCCACACTCAGTGGCCTGACTGTGCCCAAAAAATAATAAGGGAAAATAAGCTCCCCTAAAGAGAAAGTGGGGGGGCAAGGCCCCCATTAACGGAGGAGGTAGAGGCTAGAAAGCCTCGGATGCCCGTGGTGAATGCTCACACCCATCGACTGACTGGTGGTCGGACATCCTCGTTTTCAGGACTTGACAAGCTGCACAATCTCACCACTGGCAGCCCTACCCGGTACGAGGTGAGAGTGGACCTGCAGACAGCCAATGAGTCCGCCTACGCCGTGTATGACCTCTTCCAGGTGGCCTCCAGCAAGGAGCGCTACAAGCTCACAGTTGGGAAATACAGAGGCACCGCAGGTGAGAAAGTTCTTTCCTGCTCTGCTCTTGCTCTGTGTCTAAGCCCTGGTTTGCCGCATGCTGTGGATCTGGGGGCTGGAGTGCTCTGCGAAGGCGAATTGTCCTCGTTGGCAGTGGAGGTCCTGCTCCCTGCAGGGGGTTAGGGGTAAACCAAGTCGTTAAAGCAATCCTAGGCCATCGTAAAATCAGAACTTGTGTACATTATACGTCAACAGCCACCCCACCTCCAGTCAATGAAAACCCCCTCTCTTATACTCCACAAATTCAGGCCATGTCGGCTGATGAACCCCCATTCTGGGTGATAGCCTGTGTGTGTTATTTAAATAGTTGGCGGCACTTTGCCATAAACAAAGACAGAAAAGTGAAAGTGCTGATTCAAACAATAAAGCATCCATCTCATTAACTTCATACGCAGCTGAGCCGGGAGCGGAATCTTTAGCCTCAATCAGCTGCTCACTGGGTTTAAGCTGGTTGATGGTGTGTTCAGTTCAGTTCTGAAGGGAAAGAACAAAATTGAGCAACGTGACAAATACTGGGATTATACCATTGAGTGTTTTATTTAAGAGGGGAGGGGTGGGTTATCGTTTTAATATTATATTTTAAACCTGAATCTATAGTTTTTCAAACCCTAGTAAATGGGCCTGTTGTTTCATTTTGCATGTTTTTTACTTTGATGTAACTAGGTAGGAATGTGTTACCAGCCAGATCTGCTGACTGTGTAAGACATGGTCACTCCCCTTAGGCTCACATGAAAATGGATAAATAGTCATATAAGGTAACTTTTGCAGAGTCTCATAAGTGAGGCAAGGCAGTGGGCATTGACTCTTGAAACCGTGCCGGCCTTCTCAAAATTGTCTGCTCGACAACCTGTAATGGCAAAAGACCGAATAGACACCATGATACGAGGTATCTGACTGCTAACACAAAATTTCTTTCAGGTTTTCTGATTTAATTTCTTTTTAAATTACATGAATTTTGCATTTGCTCTTGTTTCCCAATGCTTAGCATGGGCCCTGGAGCAAAGTAGGTGAGTTTAAAATACAGTATTTCTGGCAAGACCTTTCTTAACCCTAAGGATGTTTTATATTGTAAAGGATAGCCCCCGAGACCCAAATACTTCCATAGGGGTCAGTGGACTGGTGAGCCTGGTGACACGGTGACATGAGAGGAGACGAACTGGGAGGGGCAGGCACCTTGACAATCCCTGGAGTCTGACCTCTGTGAGTGTGTTGCCTCATGGGGCTAGGAGGTGCCCGACCCCCCGCGCAGGCTGGGGTCCAACAAGAATATATATGTGAAGGTGACTGGTAAACTCAGAGACCGGATGTAAATATAAGTGTTGTTAGAGTGGGAATAGAACTTAATGAAGCTTGGGATTGATATGGGCCCTTATTTCCTTTTATGAGCTGAATTAAAAAGTAAAGTTAAAAAAGGATGACAAATACGATGGGAAAATAGCAGAAGTACCAGTAAAATAATTAGTTTCCAGACAGGATGTGATGAGTCACCGATGCGTATATGTGAGCCCAGGAAGGCTCTAGAAGTTCAGGCTTGTGTGCTCGGAGGGGTGAGGGAGGTTTAACAAAGAGACTCTTTCCTAGGAGTGGGTTGAGCTGGGCTTTGAGGAGCGGTTAGCACTTGGAGCGAGGAAGGGCAGAGAGAAGCCGGCGAGCACAGTGGACTGTGAGATTGTGCCGGGAACAGCCACGTTACAGGCCTGCAGAGCCAGCAGGAGCCATGCGCCCCCGTGTGGTAGGAAGTGGGACGTGAGGCCTGAGATGATGGAGGCCTGCGCTTCAGTAGGGCCAGGAAGGCTGCTGTGTTCATAGAGGTCCAACGAGATGAGACGAGGCCCAGGGCGGCAGCCATGGGAGCAGGGGTGCATGTAGTGACCTTCAGAAGCCGGGCTTGTGAAAAGCGTACTGCGGGATTGCCGAGTGGTTCTCTGGGTGGCTGGGACGATGTTTGAGCTAAGGCAGGGAGGGTGGGAGAGGGGGTAGCTTGTGAGCAGGGTGCTCGGACACTGTGGGGAGAGCCCATGAGTTTGATATTGGATATGTGGCTATTTCACATGACTGTGAAGCTCCGGAGTGAAAATGTTTTTAAGGCGATTGGAGAAACAGGCCTGAAATTTGGATGGCAAAGCAGGAAAGAGAATCTGTCATCTGCATCAGGGTCTTGTCTTGGCCATTTTGAGAGCAGGGTCCTGTGACATAACTGACTGGATCCTGGGCATTTTCATGCCTAGAGAGTTTCCTGCTGAGTCGTCTTTCAGCCCAGAGTATGGTCACCCCTCAGTGGTGAAACTTGGCCTCTCACTGCTCATGTCTTCTGTCCTGCAGGGGATGCTCTCACTTACCACAACGGATGGAAGTTTACAACTTTTGACAGAGACAATGATATCGCCCTCAGCAACTGTGCCCTGACGCATCATGGCGGCTGGTGGTACAAGAACTGCCACTTGGCCAACCCCAATGGCAGATATGGAGAGACCAAGCATAGTGAGGTAGGTGACAGGTGAACATCTTATTTTGTCCCAGGCTCTGCCCACATTCAGTTCCCAAAGTGACACCCTCCATCTCGGTTTGGCTGCCTTCTCCTCCCGAGGCTTCCAGTCAGGGCAGTTGTGCTTTTTTTCCAGCTTCTGTGGCCTTGAGGTCAAGGCCCCCCCCCCCGACCCATCTGTGACAGCCCCCCACACACTGCGTTCCCTCCCCTCCCCCCTCTCCCGCTCACGTGCTGCAGTCTTGAGTGCAGGCGGGTGGGAACTCAGGCTACCCACTGCTGAGTAAGAGACACATGACGTGGGTCCCATACTATCTCACTCGACCAGTTCACACATGGACACTCTGTTAGTCAGTTCGGGCTGCTGTAAGGAAATACTGTAGCCTGGGGGGCTTAAACCACAGACGTGTACTCTCACTGTTCTGGAGGCTGGAAGTCCAAGATCAAGGTGCCGGCAGATTCAGTCCCTGGCGAGAGTTCTTTTCCTGTGTCCTCAGGTAGTAGAGAGAGAAAGAGCGGTCTGGTGTCTCTTCCTCTTGCTGGAATAATAATCCTCAGAATCCCATCATGAGCGACCCAACCTGATGACCTCACCCAACCCTAATTACCTCCCAGAGGCCCCACCTCCCAGGACCATCGCACAGAGGATTAGGGCTTCCACACGTGCATGGAGGGGGGCAGGCACAAACATTTTCCAATTCTTTCTAGTTGTTCTCCCAGTTAAACCAGAGCTGTTTTCCTCAAGTCTTTTGATCACCAGGAAAACAAAGTCTTCCTTAGGTCAGACCCACTTTTGGGGCCATTTCATCCCAAACCACCTAGTGTTGGCCCAGCGCACGATGCTAAGCCGGTCTCCCCAGGCGAGCAGGAGGCACACCGGCTGAGCGCTCTCGAGGCCGCCTCTCCCCTGCCTTACTCTGAATCTTTCCTGCCAGCAATTTCTCAAACCTCCACGACCTGTGAACATTATCTTGACTCCTCACCAGCTTCGGGCATCTCCTGCCCGCCTCTTCTTGGCTTCTGGAAAGTTGCATCTTTGTTCCTACTCATCATTAATCCATCCCCTCCATGAACTCTCCAAGGCCCCATTCTGGGTTTCTAATCTCCCATCCTGGGTCCTGCTTCCAGCGTCCAGGAAGCCACCTCTCCCTAGTACTCACCTTGCACCGATTTCACTGTAAGTATGAGCACACCTAACGTTCAGGTTCATTTCGAGTACTTTGGTCCCGACCAGGTAGCGGGGACTCCTGATGCTTTCGTGATTTTTCCAAGGGAAGAAGAAATGTGTCCCCAGGGAAGCTAAGAGGGGTCGGCCCATGAATCATGGTGGCAGCATGTAGGCTGACACAGGGGGTAAGGAAGCCTGTGATCAGAGATCAGATATTTGAAATCAGCAGCCAGCATGCCCTAAACCATCCCTATATTTGCTAATAAAAGACATTCATCTGGTTAATGTGCTTTTCACAGTCTGCAAGGCATTTAGCTTCTTGTTTATTATTTACCTCACAAATTAAAATACGTAAAATTGGTCACTTGGGCTCTTTATTGGCCAGGTTGCAAGGTTATTAAGTGAATTAAATATTATTGTGCTCACTAGTCAAAAGACATAAAATGAAATTTAGTTTTCAGCAGGCTGTTCTTTACCCCAGAGCTAATATCTAAACAGTCTAAATTGAAAATGATTTTACACAATTGGCCAATTAATGTTTATTTTTGCCTTTAATGTTTTGGAAAGGAAAAGAGGGAGGCAAAGATAATTTGATCATTGCTGGCCAGGTTGACCCTGTGTTATCTCTGCTCCTGCTCAGGCCTCACTCACCTCCGGGCCGTCCCACCCAGGTCCTCCAACCATAGGGGACTTCCAAGCCGTCAGCCTGCCTAACCCCAGCTGCCCAGCAGAGGGCGCAAGTATCTAGAACCTGCTCCATTTCCCTTGTAAAGACCCCAGGCCCCCTCTTTTTTTCTCTCCCCTAAGCAGTGAGTGTGTGATTTCCTTGGCAAAGAAGCATTCCTTTGTATCATAACCCACCCTGCGCACCTCCCAAGGGCCTCTTCTTGATGTTGGCTTGTTTACGTAGGGGGTGAACTGGGAGCCGTGGAAAGGACACGAATTCTCCATTCCTTATGTGGAGTTGAAAATCCGCCCTCGTGGCTACAGCGGGGAGCACGTCCTGAGCACGAAGAAGCAGATGCTAGGAGAAACATCCGAGAACATTCTGATGGCCGATCTGAGCAATCGTCGCCCGAGGCAAGACCAGCCCTGGGTTGGGGCTGCATAGCTTGGGGTGAAGTGGATTGTGGTGACTGGTTAATGGAAGTTGGAGGGATGGTCATAGTCTCTAGTTCCTGAGACGCTGGATAACCTGCAGGACAAAGAATGTCATTGAGTTCCACACCATAGAGGGTAATTCCCCGCCACCTGCATTTTTGCCCATCCACGAGGTGTGACAATTAAGTTCGCGAACTTGTTGCAACGAAGTTGCTAACCTCTTTTTTGATATCAGAGGGATTATTCATTATGAATTTGTACCAACTGGACAAACAGTTAACCAAGTTTACTATTTGGAAGTGCTAAAAAGGCTGCGTGACAAAGTTAGATGACCTGAACTTTTTGCCAACAATTCATGGCTCTTGCATCACGACAATACACCAGCTCACATGGTCATTGTGAGGGAGTTTTTAGCCAGAAAACAAATAACTGTATTGGAACACCCTCCCTACTCACCTGATCTGGCCCCCAATGACTTATTTCTTTACCCGAAGATAAAGGAAATATTGAAAGGAAGATATTTTGATGACATTCAGGACATCAAGGGTAATAGGATGACAACTCTGATGGCCATTCCAGAAAAAGAGTTCCAACATTGCTTTGAAGGGTGGACTAGGCGCTGGCATCCGTGCATAGCTTTCCAAGGGGAGTACTTCAAAGGTGACCCTAGTGCTATTCAGCAATGAGGTATGTAGCACTTTTTCTAGGATGAGTTTGCGAACCTAATTGTCTGACCTCATATACTGGGAGCCTAAACACCAACGCAATAGTAGTTGCACAGTGTGAATGGGAAAGACAGCACTGGAACTGCAAAGGTTTTTCAGCCTATCTTCAGTAACAAGTATACGGGATCAGGGCAAAAAAAAAGTCTAGCACTTTACCTACTGGAAATCTCTGGAAACTGATATATATTTATATATATTTAAAGCTTTGTATTAGCAAAGCTCCTTTCTAGAAAGAAACACCAAAGAGGGGTTCTATTTATGACCAGGGTTTTTCTGTGGGGAAATCAGTGACCATTGATGTACCTCAAATTCCTAATCAAGAAGAAGAAAATAATAATAAACCACATGATTAAAGAAGAATCGCCTTGTGTTATTTTTCCCACATAAGGGCACTTGAATTCTAAATTTGGCCTAAGTGCAGGTGGAGGTGAAATGTGTGCATCACAGTGGACTTGGGTTGGCTGTGGCTTCTTTCTTGCGTGGTGGCCAATAATGGTATTTGGAAGCAAAAGTGAGTGGGAGAGACAGATGCCCTAAAAGCTGAGTCCCCCTCCAGGACTGGGGTGTCGCTTACTGCCTTGGCTTCTTCCAGTTTTCATCTCTGGCTGAATGCCAAGCCATACTCTCAAGACAGTTTTTGTCAACCTTGAAATTTTTCAGCACTCCCCCCGACCCTACCCCCCCACACACACACAGTGAGCAATGCCTTTAACAACTGCTGGAGCTGATGGTGGGTGCTCTGAATCAAGGGATGGGGCTGATTGTTAAAATGTGCCTGTATGTGGCTCGTGGATTCCACAGGAATTTAAGTGTCTGCCTGCTTCTTACCAGGCAGTGTGCTTGGCACTGGGGAAACAGGTGAGCTCAGTGGTGAGTAAGCTAGACATGGTCCTTGCACTAATGGAGTGTGTGTGCTGTAATTCATGCATTCATGCATTCATTCATTTATTCAACAGATACTGAGCCTCAGTGTGTGCCAGGCTCTGATGCTAGAAACATAATATTCCTGTCCCTGTGCTTATTTTCTATTGGTGGAACTGACGATAAACAGTACGGAAATATACAATTCCAAGAAGTGTTAAGTGCCCTGGAAGAAAACTACAGGAGGATTAAGATGGAGGTAGAGACAGGTGCTGGAGCTGGGGGGCTACGCAGGCTTCTCCGAGGAGGACATATTTGCAGAGACCTGCCCGAGTTCTTAAGCCTCGATTCAGCTTCATCAGGCAGAAGGCTGAGCGCACTTCCTCTGTACAGCCTCCCAGTTCTGAGTCCTCTCATCCTCTGTTTGCATATAAGTTCCTCACCTTGATGACTCAGGGGTCTTGTGATCACCCCAGCAGGGGCAGGCTTCTTAGAAAAGAAGGGCCTCCTTTGCAAAGTGGATCAAACCCTGAAGTGACCCAGAGCCGGTGGTGGTGCCAGTTGGCAGTACGTCCTGACTTTGAACACGCTCGTCAAATGTGCTGAGCCTCATCCTCAGAGCTTCTGACTCTGGGTCTGGACTAGGGCTGCTGTTGGATCGCTGACCACTCTGAGTAGCTGATGGTCTTTTCGCTCAGGAGGCATCTGGGATGGCAGCAGCACAGCCCCGTGTCCACTGACCCCAGCGTCTGTCCACCACTGGCCAAGACGAGGACTCGTGGGAACCTGGAGTTGTTTCTTGCATTCTTTCACCTGTAGGACCCATGCTGCCCTGAAGGTTCAGCGGGGAGAACACCTCAGCCGACCCTTCAGGGGTTCTACAGGGGGCAGAGAAGGAAGGAGAGGGAAGCTCCTTTTCAAAGGACGTTTGTCTGAGAACCGTCCAGCCCTAAACCTCCGTGCCTAAGCCCATTTAACGTGACCGGCCCTGGCAGCCCCCGCTCTGGTCGCTGAATATGGGCCTCAGGAATTGCTTCCTGGATAAACCTACTTTTCAGAGGGTCAGGTTGTGAGCCATAGGGCCTTTGAAGCTTTAAGGGCAGTTTCCACCCTAAAGGACAAAGCAAAGCAAATAGCTGTCACAGAAGGGACAGGCTGCCTGCCGGGCACGAGGGTAGAAGCCAGGACAGAAGTATCATGAGCATTCGATAAAGTCTCCGAGCCATTGCCAATTCCACACGAGACACTAGCAAAGCCCGTGTGCTCAGTGTGGTGGGTACATACCATGGCAGCGAGATGGGGCGACTGAGTCAACGGGGGTATGGAGTGGGCCCTGTGAGCAGAGCAGGGGTGCCAGAGAGAGTGTCATGGGTGTGATGTCGGCGATAGGTCTGGAAGGATGAACCAGTTTGCAGGGCACCTCGAGCAAGGGAAACTTGGTGACAAAGAAGAGAAAGGGTGGAGCTTGGTGAGTTTGAGGGAGGAAAGCGGTTTGCTGGTGGGTTGAGGGGAGCTTGGTGGGGGCCACGCTGGAGCGATGGGCGGGGACTCCTGTCTGGGCCACGAGATACCTCGGTTCTCAGCTGGCACTGCTCATTGGAATCAGCTGGAGCTGTTATGTACCTGGGCCTTGCTGCACCTCCGGGGACTCTGCTTCAACGAGTCTCAGCTGAGCCCTGTTTGCCTGCGCTTTTTAAAGCTCCCAGGGCAGGTGTTGAGGGCAGTTTGGGGGAAGTGCAGAGGTTCACGGTAATGACTTTCTTGGCCTGCGGCAGAAATCCTGGGAAAGCGGAGAAGGGCTCAGATTAAAGAGATATTTAGGAGGAGGAGTCAACAGGATTTGAGGGGATGGGTGGTAAAAGCAGGGGCGGGGGTCCCGTTACCGGGGACTTAAGAGCTGGTTCTTGACAGTAGCTTCCTCTGGGAATAGCGTCCGAGCTTGTGTTTGTCCTAAGACGCTAAGAGCTCTGCTTTTTCACTTAGAGCTCTCAGGGATTCAAGGATCAATTAAAGCCAGGCAATGCTGAAGCAGCCAGGGAGAAAGACAAGAATGACCCGAGGGATTGTGATCAAGGGGATGCCAGGTGTGGTGTGTGGAGAGAGCGAGAAGTGGAGAGAGCGAGAAGTGGACAGGCAGCGATGCAGAAGAGGTACACCGCGGCAGAAGGAGAAACAAGTGTACATAATGAAAAGCTCTTGGCAAAACTTAATCATTTGCTGGAGGAAGCTCTTCGCTGAAAAAATTTCCAAGTCATTCCCTTGAGCCCGTCCCCAGGGCGGTGGAAAGAATCAGAAAACGGTTTCTGTCAACAAGGAACGCGGATCGATATAATTGGGGCCAGCTGCCCAGAGCAGGAGGCACGCTGTACCCAGACAGGCCAGAAGGTGGCAGTGTTGCCCCAGCGGGAACCTCTCGCTTGGACGCCACTTTCCTCCGTAAAGGTGCGTTCTGGGGAGTCCCGACTTTTCTTCCTTTCTGGATAACATGGTTTGAGAGTCAGCCTGTGGGCTACGGCTCAGCATGCAGCCTGTGCTGGGTGTTGTGTAGGCGGTGTTGCTGCTGAACTAAGGCACAAAACAGGTAACTGGGAAATACCTTGACCCTCCCCCTCCACAAACACCTGGTGCTCTGGGCTGGGTGGTGAGACGGGGGATTGGGGCTGTTGGCATGATGAAAGGTGAGGGGGCCACCCCTGGAGGAGATGTTAGGCAGTCCCTAAAATGTAAATAAATCCACTTCCCAAAGTCCCTCTGTTAGCGGGCTTTTTTCTACTGGAGAAACAGGAAATGAATGGGTTGTTTCAATTTCAACGTTGTATAAAGAAGTTAGGTTCCCAGGTTAAGCCTGATTATTCTATAATACAAATTGCTGTGCAGTTGTGACAAATAGAAGACAACGGTATTGCAGTGTTGTAATTTAAATAAAAGAAGGGGGGGAAACGGAATGAAAATCGCTCTTGATTTTGGTAAGTGAAGAAAATTAGCTTTCATTAGAGAAGGAGGGGGAGGCAGAGGAGGCTGCAGTGGGTTACCTACAGGAGACATCCGGGGCCTCTAAAGGCTTGCGGGCAGAGCCCTATACTGGACTCAGTACACTCCTGACGCAGAGGAGGTGTCCCTGTGCGCTAGCAGTCTTTCAGGAGCCAAGTTCAGCAGGTGGGCCTGGGGCCCGGTGCCCAGTGTGTGGAAGGGGCGCTGGGTAGGTGTCTGAAGGTGTTGGTCTCCATGGCAGCTCTGGGTGAGTTGCTTTCTTTCTCTGGGCCTTGTTTTCTTCGTCTATAAAATGGGAATGACATCAGCCCCTGTTGTGCTGCGTCGGCAGCTGTAAGAATCAAACGGGGTCATGAGAGGGCTCTTACGTGATTGAAAGCACCTGGAAAGGCACCTGGGTCTTTAGCCTTTGATTCAAAACTTCTGGATTTTCTTTTTTCCCCCTCTTGATACAGAGGGTATCTCTAGCCAGCTCTAAGGTATATGGGCGATGAGTAGCCTCCAGCTGGATTGCTGTGGTTCACTTATGGAAGAAAGACAAAGGGCAGAGTGAGAAACGAAGGCTATGAGAGGAAAAGGAGAATCTATGTGCATTTCAGAAAGGGCTTCCTTGGGGAAGATAGGAACTGAGCTGTGAGCCGTGAAAGGCAGGAACAGGTGAACCATGGGGGTTACATGGACCCTCCCTGGCAGCATTTCCCAAACTGTGTTCTTTGGAACCCTTCCTTCTCCAGATGCAAAAGTTTTCATGGACCTCAAGGAAGAGTAGAAAAGTACACAGTATGCAGTGCTTTCCAAACTTATATGACCATAGAATTTGCTTGTTTCCTGAGTATCTAGTTAGTGTTTCTCAAGGTGTGGCTCAGAGACGACTGGCATTTGCCTAGAGCACTTGCTAAGAGAGCAGGTAGTCTGGCCCCATCCAAGACTTAATAAATCCAGCAAAAAGGGCAGAGAGAGACACCCAGTGGTTCTTTTTCTTTCCTCTCCCCCATCAATGCATTTATTGAGCATGTTGTATATACCAGGCTGCATATTGGAGATATAGTGGTGAATAAGGCAGTTACAATTCTGGCCTCATAAACGTTAATTCTAACATGGGTGGGAGTGGAGTGCTTTGAATAAGGATCATACACAGGTGCCATATCGTCTGATCTTGCTGTGATGGGCAAAGTTCGTGTGGTCAGGGAAGCTCTCCTGTAGGCAGTGATATAAAACCTGGAACACTGCACAGAAACATGTTTGTAACAACAATGAAGGCTTAGGGTCATGAATACCCTTCATCTGTCCCATGAGCATGGCAGTCTTGACCCTAACAGATTCGTGAATATCACAGAAAACCCAATGAGCCTTTAGCACGTTCCGCCTGAGGACCAATTATCTGGATGGATGTTCTAAGGGAAACACTCCCGTGAGGTGAAAAAGACGCTGATGCAAATGCTTTCCTGATCTGGCCACCAGGGGGCACTGTCACCCTAGGGTGGTGTGGCTGTGGGCCGAGGGGACGAGCCCAGGCCAGATAAACTCACCGGTCACAGACTGCAAACGGGAGCCCTTATTCATGGAGTATTGATCATGCTGCAGACAGAGCAGCGTCTGGTGAAATTAGGAATGTATTGCACCAAGGGGAAGAGAAAATGGACTTTGTTTTAAACCCCGATCTCATTTGAACTGTCTACACCCTAAGACTCGATGGACTCTTGCTTTCTTCTTGAAACTTTCTCCCCCTTTGACTTCTGGAACACAACTCCCTCATGATCTTCTGTCTATACTTAATAATAACAGCTAACACTTACTGAGCACTTACTATAAGCCAGGCCCTGTCTGTCTGACATGCGTCGGACCCATTATCTCATGTACTCCCCTGTCCCTGTGGTAGGTACTGTCACTAACTCTACAGGAAAATTTTGCAGGGATGAAGTTCATGGGCCTACGTCACCTGACTAGTGGGAGCTGGAGTTAGTCTCAGAATCCGTGCGACCCTCGTCCTGAGCCCACCATGCCGACGGTGGTCCTAGTGTCACCCCCCCCCCCAGGCTGCACGTGCAGGTTGTAGGGTGTACAGATGGTCCCCTCCTTTCCCAGTTTCTTCCTGTCAACTCGGGGCGGTTCCTGTGTGATCTGTCCTGACAGCTCGTCCTGACACCAGCGCTGGAGCTGCGCTCTAGGAAGCAGCGACCACACACTGCATTGGAATGGTCTGTTTGCTTATCTGTCCCTTCAACCAGGCCATGAGCCCCTCCAGACAACCCTGTATCACTGGCTCCTAGTGTGCTTGGCACATAGTCAGGAGTCAAAAATGTTCACGGGATGAAAAGCCTCAAGAAGGAGTTAGGTAACGTGCGTGCATGGCCGTTCCTGAGTGACGCAGCAGAAGTGTTGGAAAACATTGCTTTTGAACCTATGGCAAAGGCCGAAAGCTGTGTTGAAGGGACTCTTTATTTCAGTCTTGTAATCCCGTGACTTTGAATTTGGGAATCATACTGAGGTCAAAGGGCAAGGGGCCCGTGCAGACGGTTCTGGCGAGCTGCGCATGCTCATAACATCGTCCAACCCCATATTCACACCCTCAGGTCAGCGCAGAGCCTGCGCAGGTGGAGCTAGTGGAGTTCAGCTCTGGCCTCCGCTCAGGTGTGCCGCGGCTGCTCCTCCCCCAGGTGGATTCTGAGCCACACTCTGTTCTCTACACGGGAAAGGTTTGGAAGTCCTGGGGGAGAGAACACAGACCAGAATGGAGAGTCTGTCCTCAGGTCGCCGTGGAGAGAGTGGTGGTGGGGCCAGGGTGCAGGAACTTGAAACGACAGAAACAGTCAGCCTGCCTTGGGGGAGGGAAGGCGCGGGCCTTCATTCCTCAGCCCTCGCTGCTGGCCAGCATGTCTGACCACTCCCCCCTCGAGCTCCTGGACCACGTGGCTAGTGAGCAGTTGGACTGTGGCAGGCGTGACTTAGCTGCTGGGCTTTTAATGTTATTTCATTTTAACTTAAATAGCTGTATGTGGCTAACAGTACCATATGGGACAGTGTAGCTATGGAACAGGTGCATCCTTCCTAGTTCTATTGGGCGGCACTGTTCTAGATGGTTTCTGCTCGGATGACCAACTGGGAGGACTGCCGTCAGGGAGGGATCAGGAGCACCGATGTCATTATATTTCATAGTTAGTGCAAAGCTATGGCTGACATGAAAAAAGGTAAACATTTACACATACATACATGTGTCTGTCTGTCATCTATCATCTGTCTTATCTCTCTGTGTATCTATCATCTATCTGTCTCTCTCCCTAGCAGCTACTGTAGAGGCTTTTGATCTCCCCTGCCAGCACCAGAGTTAACTCACAGTTCTGTTTTTACTTAGTTTTTGCTATTTTCCCCTTTTTCCTTTAAGAAGATATCGATTGACCTCACTGAAGGGAATGTTCTCTAAGTGTTGCCAGGGCACACGCGCGCGTTCGCCTGCAGCTGGCACCTCTGAGGGTGCCTGGTCCCCAGGCGTCTGCTGTGCAGGCAGTGGTGTGACTGCATTCCTGCGCGCCTGTGACCTGTGACCCTGCCGGGGGCGGGGGCGGGCCTTTGGTATCCCAGAGGGAGTCATTGCACCCATTGTGTCTGAGTGACGTCTGGGAGAGGGTCGTATCAAATGCCAAGAAAGTATCCGACTCCAGCACGGAAGGAAGTCAGGCGTGGCTTCTTATTTTCAAAGTATTTTATTTAAATAAGTTTTTCTGTTGGTGTGTTTGCATTTTCCAGAAAAATATTGACAAATACTGTACAATTTGGACCATTTATATTCTTCTTGAAAAGGCGACTGCCCTTTCTCTGTATCCTCTCTCCCACTCCCCCCGAGAAATACAACAGCGAATCCATTGAGCCGTGGGGAAGCCCTCCTCTGACTCGGGCTGAAGGTGTGTACAAGCCTGGGGGCTCCTCCCCAAGCTGGTGCTGGTTTGGGAAGTCTCTTTACCATCTGTTTTGTCCTTTATTAGCTTAAATTCCCCTCGAGGCGCCAAGCAAGCTCTAGTCCTCAGGTCCCCCATGGCCAGTGGCAGTCTGGGACAGAGGCCGGGAATGAGTGAACCGAACCTGGAGAGGAGTAGAGGGATGGAGCAGGGCTGGTGCCAGGAGAAGAGGGAGTAAGAGAAGAGGCAAAACGGGAGAGAAGGATGAGCATGAAATGGGAAGAAAAGGGCGTGGACACCAGGACTTGCCTTGGGCTCCTACACACACCCATTTGTTCAACAGAATCACGAGGGCCTCTTATGGACCCGACACTGTTCTAGGTCCTCCAGGAAAGGCTGTCAGGGGAGGCCGGGGTGGGGGACTGACGGGCCTCACTCGAGGCTTAGGTGGCCGGGGTCCTAGGCTATGAAAGCAACAGGACGTGTGTTTTGTGCCTGGAGGTAGAGCAGGTCCATTGTATTAGGAGACAGTGGGGCACTGAACCTGGAGATTAGGCCTTGTCATGCCAGTGACAGCAGACCCGCTGTCTTAATTCAAATGAGCAGCCGGTTGTCATGGCAACCATGTTCCTGGTGCAATCCCTGATCCTGGTGATCTGCTTGCCTAGATCCCATCTGACACCAATCTCAGCCGTCAGCCTCCATGTCTCCCCTAAGTCATCCATTTCGGGGGCGGGGGGATGAGCGCCGGAGACAGGAAGGGGAACGCGTCCTTGAGGGCAGTGGTAGGCGCGGCGAGGCGAGGCTCGTGCGTTCTGTGTGGGGAGATGACTAGTCATCCTGCGATGTCAAGGGGACAGTCAGCTGCTCCATGCATAGCTTTCCATGTGACAAGGGGACAAGGAATCAGAAGGTGCTTCTTCCTCTGGCCACAGCAGCTTAGGAGTAAGAGCCTGAGTGCCCAGGGTAGTTAGGGCCACTTAGGGTGAGAGGGTGGACATGATTGGTCCTAAAATATATGCAGGCCTGAATTATGATTCACAGGATCACCTGCTAGGAGACCTGGTACAGCAGCCACCACCCAGCGCCTGCCCTCCACGGGCCTGGAGTGTACTGGAGGGCAGTTGAGGACCAGGCAGCCCTGGAGAGCAGATAGAGTGCATTTTTTTTCACTAGCACAATCTTATAGAATTTAGCTTTTGCCACTATAAATATCATAGTTTAGCTACATTCTTAAATCTCAATTTCACCACTATTTAGAAGAGTTTCCATGGGAAAATATTTCAAGAGCGCTAGCGACCCAGGAGATTTGCAAATGAACTTGGACAGCACAGCCTACCCCCACGTTGAGAATTACCCATCACTGTAATGTGGCCATAATACAAGCAAAATACCAAGCAGCTCATCGTATGAATGGATTAACTCAACCCCCAAACTTCAGCCTGGCGGGGAGACGCTCTGTGGACCTAGTTTACGCGTCCGCACGGACCTCAGGGCACCCGTGCCAGCCCGGCCCTTGGTGTTGTGTGTACCTTCCTGCAGAATTCAATACCCAACCCCCACCCATTGCAGCACAAGCGGGCTCACTCGGAAAGTCAGTTGGGGAAATTGGTGAGGTATGTAGTTTACCCTTAACATTATCACAAAGCCAACAGCCTCCAGAGACAGTCACGAGTACCAAGTATGTGCAAGGCACTTGCCCGAACCGCAACATAAATATCAATAAACCTCTATATAGCTTGGTCCCGCTTTCACTGAGTGTCTTCTGCAGCGCCCCTGCTGCATGCCAGGTCTCCATTCCCGCCGTAGGCAACCGTGTCCTGTGTGCTTTCTGCGAGGCTGTACCGGTGACTGGCGTTAATTCCTTCCCCGCTGAAAACCTGTGGTTCCACGGGAGACACCTCACTCAGGTGTAGCATCTCTTTCCTCCTGTAAAGCATACTTTGCCCATGGAGAAACCTGGTTTCCTTAGCTCTCTAGGAGTCCCTACCAAGAGCGGTTTGTTCTCGCGTGGAATAGGCGCCTTGCTCAGTGGTTCTGGGGGTAGCGTCTCAAAGACAGGTCTCGGACCACATTAAATACCTACCAGTGGGAATGAGGACCTTGTACGGAGTTGCAGGACCATAGCTTTCAGTGAATTTTGGTCCATCACACTTTACACTTTCCCCTCCAAGGTGCGAGGTCAGAAGCACAGGAACTTGGTGAGTCTGTATCATACAGGGGTGGAGTCTCCCCCAGGTTGCTGGAATGCCCCGTGATGAGGCTTTCCAGTCAAACGTCATGTAGGGATAGGAAGAGGGAAGCACACGTCTCTAACCTGAGTGGTCTGTGGGGAGGATGTGCACCTTGGCTGGTTATAGAACTGCGCGTACGTGCCCGCATCTGGCAGGACCTTCTTGTGGGATGTTTTTGTAAAAGCAGGTAATATACTGCCTTGAATGGGGCTTTGCACAGAGGAGACATCCTAGGACCATTTGATGAACATAATACACTTGCCCAGGTACCCACGTGTGTGTGTGTGTGTGTGTGTGTGCGTGCATGCAAGCACGCGCTTTGAGGAGACATGTCAAGATATGTGGATAAATGTTCCCTGTGCTTTTGCATATGTGGTTTGCCAGAGATAGTTGGAAGGCATGCCTGAGTCTGTGGGGAAGAGCATTGTTGCTGGACACGTAGCTGCCAAGACCGTGCCGACAGCTGTCCACGTGTTCCCTGGGAGTGCCCTCCTGGGGGCCACGCCGCCTTGGCGGAGAAGCTCCTCTGTCCATGTGAGTGCATCAGGCCAGGGATCGCTTCTCCCTCCCCTAGATGGAGTTGGAAGGCGGCCAAGTCCCTGAGGGGCGCACCTCTGCTTCCTGCCTGACTACACCGGCAGCGATGGCCTCTTCTCCATCTGGAGAAGCTTGGGCTGAGCAGAGATCCAGAGGTCTTCCTCAGCCTTCTTTTTCTTCTTTCCCTTGTTTTGCCCTGGCTGTTGGTCACGCTTGCCTGGCCGGTTCCAGCAGCAATGGCAACAGATGAAGGTCAGTGTGATGACCACCAGTAGTGGCAGCGCCAGGATGATACCCAGGCAGACAGTGTTGAAGAGGCCTTCCTCGTGCCTGTTCAAGATGGTATCCCAGATGGCACTGAAGAAGGATTTGATTTTCTCCATGGTGCTCGGCTGGAGAGGTCCTCTGGGAACCTCTCCACTCACTACCAAGTCCCAGGCTCACGAGGACACAGCCTTGCCCACTTGGCACTTACTCCTCTTCCAGCTCTGGCTTTGGGCATGCCACGGATAGCACCTGAAGAGAGCCAGACAGACAAGTCAAGAAAAATGCAGTGGCATGCTCCGCAATTTTTAATAACATCCTAGACTTTAGGCTTAGGAAAGGGGAGGGGATCAAAGATTTCCAGAGTTTGCTAAAATTATATTGAGACTCAAGAAACAAGATAAATACGTGTATGAAGTCAGTAAGTATTAACTAATTCTTACACACTATATTGGGCTTAGGATATAGAAATTAATAGTATATCAGACCTGGCACATAGTAGGTGCTCAGAAATTGTCGCATGAATGAAGCAATGTGTATATTCGGCGTTCTGTTAGGCATTGGCTCTCTGGAGCTCGCCGTAAGAGCAGTTCTCAGTCTTCTCTCCACGGCAGCTCACCGGATAGGTGTGAAACACATACTCCCCACAGGACAGCTTTGTAGCTGATCTTCTGTGAACACAACGGGATATTTTCAACATGTATTGGAGCTTAAGCACGAGACAAAATTGATGTCTTGCTGCCTGTGGTAGGGGACTTGGGCATCCCCAGGTCACGAGGTCATCAGTCCTCATCCAGCCTCATTCCTGCCTTCCTTACCATCCCTTCCTGCTCTCTTCTCTGCGCACCCCGCCCCCCCCCCCCCCCCCCCCCCCCCCGTTACATCCCACTCTTGTGTCTGACAAGGACTCATGGTGCTTTGGGTGTTGGACCATCTGCTGGTTCTCTCTGTTTCTATCTTCCTCTCCCTCATTACCCCTGTCTCTGCTCTCTGTCCCTCAACTAAGTGTTCCCTACTCTCCTTCCTGGCCTGTTCCCTTTGTTTTCAGTGGAAAATGAGCCTTGAAGGCTGCTCAGCCACGGTGCTTGGAAACTCGGATGGGCCGGATGCCTCCCTGCTCCTGTCCTGAGCTCAGCTTACAGCTGGGTCTGCTCTGTTGCTTGTCCAGAGTGGCCCCTCTTCCTTTGGCGCTCCCTCCAACTCTCCACGTGTATCTTAGGCCTCAGCTCTCAAGTATAAGATCTTAGGAGCTCCTTCACCTCTGGTATCCACGGGTTCTTGTGTCCAAATGAGACTCAGAGGACAGGCATAGTTCCAGGAACTTTAAGAGACTTCTTGGAGTAAGACATTGGCCAGGACCCAAAGGTCAGAGTCATTGATGTTCAGGCTGGAGACCTTGGTCATCCCGACCAACCCTGTCACTTAAAGATGAAGGATCTGAGGCCCAGAGGGGGGAGGTGACATGTCTGAGGACACAGAGCTGTGAGAACACCCAGATCTCCGGACAGTGGGTCCAGCATGCTTAAAGCTGCCGGGCCAGCAGAAGAATAGGATGACAGCATTACTTTACGCTTGTATTTCACTTGATACTTTCCCAACCACCATCATGTTTTAAGTGAGCATCAGGATGGCGCCCTATCAATAAGGGAAGCACTGGGGGACTTGAGCCCAGAATCATTCTGTTTTATTCTGTTGCTGTGCACTGGAGCATAGATGTACGGCCCCACCTGGGCGGTGTGTTACAGTGGTACCCCAGGGGTTGTTCTCAGGGTCTGTTTCCTTGGAAACCTACTCTATGAAGTGTCCTAGGTACCCGTGGCTCATGTGTCCATCAAAGCCCCACCTGACCTCAGTCCTGGTCTGCTGGCAGGCGGCTGCACACCCTCATGGTATAACCTATGCAAATGAACATGTTGGCACCTGCTACTGTGCCATTTGGCCTATGGGAGAGAAGTGACACTGTAAGGTGGCACTTATTACATGCCAGGCACTGTTATAGGAACTTTACACGTACTAACTCATTTAGCCTTCATTACAAGCTTACCAAGTAGGTACAGTATTCTCCTGCCCTACAGCTGAAGGGATGGGGGCATGGGTTATACAGTGATTGGAGGAGCTGGCCCTGCTGATCCTGGGGAGCTCGGCTCCAGGTGCCCCAGGGGGGAGCCCTTCACAGGTGTTGCTCTGCACCTCCTCTTTCTTTGTGTGGAATTAACCCATTTTTGGCAAGTAACCCGGGAGTTACAGAATCTTACGATACTCGGCTATTCCCCAGGTTGACTTAAACATTTATCCTGGTCTGTTGTAGAAAAAGATGGCAAAGAGATTGATTGATTTCCTGTTGTTCGATATGTCTCAAACGCATGAAGAGACATACAACAAAAATCCGGTCTAGCCCAAGTGAAGGTCTACAGAAAGCCTATGGCTGCCCGAACTTCAACAGGAAACAAAGAAAGTATTCTGAGAAGTGACACCCCCTCGTCAGAGGCCCCGCGCGAGCCCCGCTGAGGGCCTGGGAACCCCACGCCATGGGCCTGCCCACACGCCACTACACAGGCTCTTTATAGAGCAAATCCAGCCTTGGTATCCGGGAGCCCCTTGGCGGGCTGCTTGTTGCCTTTCTCCTCCTCACACCACGAATCTGTATTTCCTTCTCCCTTTGCTATGACCTTTGCTTTGACCTCAGCCTTGGATGGCCCAGGAGTTTTCAGCCCACCTAGAAGGAGTTTTCTGCTCTGTGGTGGGGAGACTTTGGGTGCTTTTCTCTATTTGGTCCACACATAAGCTTTTTTGGGACCAAATGCTCTTTGCACAGCGTTTCCATGATTCGAATCAGACAATAGCAACACCACATTTGCTGACAAAGAATTCTGTGCAAGTGCAGTGGGGAGCATACAGTCATCAGGGACCCACTTTTGGGGTCAGCCAGGAAGACAGAGGAAGGATGCTGAGCCCTTGGAGAAGGGGGAGCACTGAGGGGGACCTTGAAAGAGTCCTTTCAGGACCTTGAGCAGGATCTGGACAGAGAAACATGGGTCAAAAGGTTGTTCAAAGATTCCAGGCAGAGAAACTTCCAGAACCTGGGTAGGAGAATAGGGGGCCTTCTGGTGAGCCTGCAGCTCAGGGCAGGAGGATGTTGTGATCAGAGCTCCCCTTCAGGAAAAGATAACAGGATCTGAAAAGCTCTGGACAATGCTTTAAGAGAGTTTTTCAAGCATTTAACAAGCATTTATTGAGCACCTAATATATGTCCCACGCTGCGTGGGTGTTGAGGATTCAGCAATAAAAGACAAAAATATGGCGTCTGATGCCATGGAGCCTTGTGCATTCCAGGGAGCTGTGATTATTGAGGGATTCTGTCATAAAAGTAAAAGACAGTAAGCGGATCCCAACTAAGTTGCTTAGCTGGCTGAAATAGAAGCATGCATTTGAGTTATGTTTATCTCAATGTCCCAGGCGCTTCTACCCCTCCCAACCTTTGTCTCAAACGCATACATCCCATGGCACCCAAAATAGCCTTTGAATAAATAGATTTCTTTTCAAGCTAAAGCTAAGTCAATAATTCACCCCTGGATTCCTAAAGGAACTTTTTTGAGTCTGCTCTCCATACAGCCGAAGCAAGTATTCATTAGCATTTGGGAACCCAGTCTGGGGAATATTCGATTAAAAGGTATTCTTTATATTTTTAAATCTAAGAACGCTCTCCTAGATGCCCCGGGTTACTTGCTGAGCTCTGCTAATCTATAGTGTTTCATTAGTATTTATGAGCCTCACGTTATTAGCATTTCCAGGAAACAATCAAATATCTCCTTGGCGGTTATAAATTGAAAGTTAGGGCTTCCATAGAGGATTTTGCAAAAGGAGCCACAGCGTGGGCCTTTGACATTCACTCGGGGAAAATTCACCCATCCTTGTGTTGGCTCTTAGTATCTGCTGATGCTGTTTGAAAGATAATTAATCTATTCTTGTAGAACCAACAGTAGGTGCCAGCCAACCATGATTGCTTGATTGTGGTTGTGGGGGTGAGGAGAAAGATGAGGGGAAAGGGAGCTTTCAGTATCCTTGAAACCCCAAATTATTTATCTCTAGATCCTCGTTAGTATCGAGCTGAGGAGAGAGTCATTCATTCATTATTTCTTCCAACAAACTTCTATCTGCCTGTGTGTGAGGGGTTGATAGAGAGCCAGAAGACCTAAATTGGAGCCCTGGGTCAACCCACATGACCTTGGCGAGTTACAGAACCTCAGCTACAAAATGAAGCTAATAAGCTTCTCTTGTAATGATGTTGTGAGGATTATAAGAGCTCAATATATTTAGCGTGTTTTGTAAACTGTTAAATGCTATAAAACATAATCCATAAAATAGTGGGTTATCTCCAGATAGCAGTGGACTATTCTCGCCTTGGGCTTTTCTTCCCCATCTCTTACCTCCAGGCATAATCCTCACTGTCAAAGAACCGGGGGCCCCCACCCCATCCCAAAGAAAAGGGTTTTGCAGGTAACCTCCCTGTGGCTCGTCCCCAGGTCTGTAGCTGTCATGCTAGACTCTGGCATCCAGCAACAGGAAGGAGAAAGGTCACTTGGGGAACTTCTGGTCGTGTCTGGAGGACTGTCTAGCTCATAAAGTGAGGCCCAGGGAGAGCGCCTAGCCTTCTGCAGGCCCCAGCCTCCCTTCCAGGCATTGGAACCCCTGCCAGCGTACAGGGAGGGGTCCTTCCGCAGGGAGGTCAGGTCCACCCCTGAGAACCAAGAGCTGCTCCAGACCTGTGTCCAGGGCTGGTGCTCGGAACGGTATTCCTTCCAGAGCGCCCCAAGCAGGGGCTGGGGCCAGGGCGTTCTGCTCTGTACCGGCCTCTCACTCTTCCTGCTTATTAGGTGATGTAATGTATGTAAGCTGTAGACTAGTGTCTGTCGGATAGTGAATGCTTCCTAGAAACGTTCCTGATAAAGATCATGATGGCACCCAATTAAAATTCCTGAAACCAACTCCAGGGTGACCAGTGGTCCAAATCTTTGTCCCTCTTGTGAGGGGTGGAGTGAGGCCGGAGATCCAGGTCTCTCTCAGAACCTTAGAAGGCTCCTCTGCTGTAGCTGCAGACTCCTGGGTATGTGTGAGGCCAACTCATAATTGAAAGCTGGGGACAAAGACTTCCTCTTGGGCCTTAAATGCTTCCTCGGAGTCTTCTTTTTTTGTGTTGTGGTTATTGCTGTACTTGTGTATCTCCTCACCCAGGGATCTCAGGTGACAGCAGGATGGATGGACCTCTGGCCAGGCTAGCTGCCTAAGAGTCACCAAGGGGGTTAAAGAGGTAGGTTCCTGGGCCGCCCTCCTGGAGACCCTGCTTCAGTAGGTCGGGAGTGGGCCCAGGAATTTATGTTTGTAGCAAACAGCCCAAGTGTTCCTGGACCATTGCCGGGTTCAGGAACTGCTGTATAAGCGAGTTGACCAATGATGCTTTGCTATGAGCTGGGGTGCCTTGCTGAGTGAGGGATGGATCTTGGCTGAGGGCGGATGGCAAACAGGTTTTTCTTTGTACATGGTGGTGCCATCGGCTGCCTTGGGGAGCCTCCTAGGGCATCACTTCTGGCTCTTGTGTAATCAGGGCATCTGGGCCACGACTACCTTCCTGGGAGTCACAGTTCAACCCAATAAACATTCACTGTGCACCCAC